GCGTCTGTGTGGGCCTGCCTGAAAAGAGAGAACTCTGTGAGGGCTGGGCAGTTCCTGGAAAGCGTCATGTGAGGAGCCGTTGGCCTCTCCACTGCTGGGTCTGAGCAGCCGAGGCCAGCCTGTTCAGCACTCAGCACCGCGAGGCGTCGGGATGGCTCTGGGTCTGATTTGTCTTTTACAGGGTGTGAAAGGGGTCCTCCCTGAGATCTGCTTCTCTGCCCGCAACTCGAGTTTTCTTGGCAACCGCGTCTGTATCCATGTCAAGCCACATGGTCCCCAGGCACTTGAACGGGAGGTGCCACTGGGGGCCAGATGTTACACTGGATGCAGGACAAGGAGCACCTGGACCTGTGTCCCCGTCACCCCGATCGAATGTGCTAACTCCTAAACTCAAGGCTAGGAGTAGGAGACTTGCAGCAGGAAGAAGAGAAGAATTCCAGCTAGAGGGTCGGAGGGAGAGAAAAACAATAGCTAACATTTTCTAAATTATGTGCCAGGCATGGAGCCCAGTACTTAACAGGAGTCTCCTCAATTTTTCACAGTAACCCGTTAAGGAAAGATGGTGATTTCTTTTTTATATAGAGATCGTTGGTTACACGGAGGTCTAGATAGGTAAAATAACCGGCCTGAAGCCACACAGCCCAGGTTCAGACTCAGGCTTCTAGTCCAGCAGACAGGCTTCCTCTGAACAGGCCTTAAAGCACACAGAGAACTTTATCCTCAACAACTTACCATAGAAAATTGTAAACATACAGGAAAGTTGAAAGAATTTGGCAGCAAACCCCCTTAATAGCCACCACTTACCCTAGGTGTATTTGCTTTGTCCACAAAGGCACCCTACTTTTTATGCCTTTCAAAGATAGTTGCCGACCCCCTGCATCTGTTAGCATGCATATCATTAACTACAGTTCAGCACTTAGTTACGGTGTTATTATTGCTGTTGTGGACAATTTACATACAGTCAAGGAAATACGCATGTCTCAGGGTGCCGTTTGAAATAGCTGTAAATGGCTTTGTACGGGCTGCACTTTTCTGTTTCTGGCTCCTTCCATCAGCATGGTGTTCTCGAGATTCGTCCCCATGGTGGTAGGAGTAGTTCTTTTGGATTGCTGGCTACTATTCCGTCGTGCGGCGTTCCCATGATCTGTCTGTCCACCTTTCCCTGCATGGACATCTGGACCAGGTGCTACTGAGCTATTGGGAATGAAGTTGCTACAACCACTCAGGCACGCAATTTTCTGTGGACACACACTTTCATTTCTCCTGGGTCTATACCTGGGAGCGCAACGGTCTGTTTAGGGCCACAGAAAGCTGCCGTCTGTCTTTCCCAAGTGGGTGTTCCCGTTTGCTTTCTCGTCACACACACACACGAGTGTTGTGATGACTCCCACCCTCGCCGGCATGTGACAGCAGGCGTTTTCGTTTTAGTCACTCTGGTGGTTGTGCCACGCTATCACATTGTGGTTTTGGTCTGCATGTCCCTGGGGACTAATGGTTTTGAGCAGCTTTTATCAATCTATCAGCCATTTTTTAGGTCTTCTTCTTTGAGTATCTGTTCCAATCTTCTTGCTCATTTAAAAAAAAATTAATTTGCTTCCTCTCTGTTAGAAGTATGTTTTGCAAACGTTTTCTCCCAGCCTGGTGGGCTGAACTTTTCCATTCTGATGCAGTCTGATGTGTCTGTGCTTCCTTTGTATGGCTTTTGCTTCCTGCGTCTGGTCCAGTGCTTTCACCTACCAGCTGGAGAGTCTCGAGGAGGAAAAATGGGAACCCTGAAGGAACTGTAGGTGAATGGAGCAGTTTGGGCATAAGCTCTGGGTGGGGAAGTGCAGGTCCCGCTGGGGTGACAGAGAGCAGGGCAGAGGCTCCAAAGGAACTGGACTCAGCAGGCAGTAGGATCTATAGACGGTTGTAGAGCAGGGGAGGGACATGGCATGAGAGAGGGAGCAGGCATAGCCCTGTGACGCAGGAGCCTGGAGCAGTTTCCACTCGGTCACCTCGAGTTCAGCACCTTGTGTCTCAGGATGCAGGTGGGACTGCGAGGCAGGGAGCCCTTGGTCTCTGGGCCAAGGCCACCCAGACCCCACCAGGGCCTAAGGGCCCATTTCTTCTTGCCAAGGCAGCCCGAGGGCTTGTCCAGACACTACCCAGATGCCCAGTCATTCCCTCAGCACCAAGGCAATTTGACTTACAGCCAACCTCCAGTGGACCCTCAGCCTGCCCTGCTCTGACCTTATCGCCACCCACTCACACCCTTGTCACCGTGTACCTCCTCCTTGCAGTTCCCCTGGGAGTAGGAAATCTAGGCTTTGGAGTTGGCTCTTCTTCCTGCCTAGATCTCTTTTCCATAGTACCTGCATCCAGGTGTTTACGCCAGGTTTTGTTTTTGTTTTTGTTTTTTAAGAGAGTTTTTTGTTGCTATGTGGCACGTGTGAGACAGAGAGACAGCAAGAGAGAAATCATCTCCCGAGGGGGGATGGCCATGCCAGTCTCTTCTCTCCCACTCTCCTCTTGGCACCCAGCTTGAGTTTGAAGTCACTGGGTCCCGGACTCGAACCTCAGTTGGCTATGTGGGAGTCCAGTGGCATAACCATTACACCCTCTGCTAGTCCTGTACTTCAGGTGTTTTAATGTGGGCATCCCTGGCTATCAGCACCCACCCCTTTCTCCTTCCACTTCGACGCTGTTACCACCTACTCACTGCTCCATGGGCCTTGCCTGTTGCTTGCTTGGTCTCCTAGGATGTAAATGCCTGAAGGTCGGGGGCTTTTGTTTTCTTGTCTTACTGTCTGTTCACTGCTCTGACTTGTGCCCAAGACATCTGGTACTTGCAGGGCTCAGAAAATATTCATGGTACTTGTAGAGTGGGTGAGAGGCAGCTCCCTGCTTCTCCCAGAGCTTTTGTTTGATCCCAACTTTGATTCTGTAGGAAAAACAGGGATGAGCCCAGGACTGACTTGGTACCGTCTAGAAAGTGGAGGAAACGTCACCCAGCCTCCCCAGTTCCCATTGTACAAATGATGAAAACCAAGACCTTGAGAGGGAAAGGCCTTGACCAAGGTCTAAGCCTTAGTTGGAGAGAGGAGAGGAGAGCCAAGTGCTCCAAGAGTCCTAATTGGCCCCTGGAGGAGGCCCAGGCCAAGCAAGAATGATTATAAACTTGGGAAAAGTTGGTGGAACATAGAATTAAAGTACATATTCATTTGGTGCAAAAGATATTGAAATTCCATGCATAGTTTTTCATAATATGCATTTCCATGATCTTTTTGTGGTCTTTCCCCCCATAAAATGCAAGCCATACAGGTCATTTTAAATTTTCTAGTCACATATGAAAACAGTAAAAAGAAATAGGTGAGGGGACCAGCAGTTAGCGTAATGGCTATGCTGCTGAACTCCCATGCAGCTGACCGCGGTTTGAGTCCCAGACTCGGTGGCTTAAACTCACACCTGGTGTGTGTGCGTGCGTGCCCAAGATCCCGAGAGGAGAATGGAGGAGAAGGGGTTGCGGTGTGGCCATCTTCCCTCGGGGGGGAGGGGTGATTTCTCTCTTTTATCTCTCTGTCTTTCTGGCAAGCGCACGCTCCCTATAGCAAAAACCTCTCCAAAAAAGAAAAAAGAAATAGGTGAAATTCGTTTTAGTGATGTTTTATTTAACCAAGCATATCTAAAAATGTATTTCAACATGTAATCAATATAAAATATTATTAATGAGCTATTTTACATTCATTACTTTTCTTTTCTTTTTTTACTATCAGAGGGTGTGTCTGCTCACTAGAGAAGGAAAAGGAGAAAGCTCCACGCAAGGGGGCACGTCACGCTGCTGTCCCTTCTCTCCCATTTCTGCACCTTGTCCCGATTTGGGGTGTGCACACAAATGCACTCAGTGTGTTTTCCAACCCCTGGGGCCAGGATCCGGATCCGAAATGCATGGTTAGCCTTGTGGGATCTAGCTCTCTCTTACCTTTTTTTTAACAGATTTTTGCTATAGGGCGTGTGCACTTGCTGGAGAGACGGGCACGCATACATGCACATGTGCCCAGTGTGAGTTTTAAGCCACCGATCCAGTACTTGAACCATGGTCAGCTACGTGGAAGTCCAGTGATGAAACCATTCCACCATCTGCTGGTCCCAGGGATCTGGCTCTCTTAACTACTAGACTACAGGGCCAGCCCCTTCATGCATATTTTTCCATGTGAAGTCTTTGAAGTGCTATGCGTCTTTTACCCTTACAGCTTATCTCCATTTAGACAAGTTTTTTTGTTGTTGTATTTTTGTTTTGTTTTATTTTGTTTTGTTTTTGCTATAGGACATGTGCAGTTGCCGAAGTGAGAAGGGGTGCGGAGGGGAGGGCCACACCGCAGGCCCTTCTCTTTCACTCTTCTCTCAAGATCGTGGGCACGCATGCATGCACACCTGTTGTGTTTTTCAAGCCACTAGTTCTGGGACTCGAACCATACAGTCGGCCACTTGGGATCCAGCTGCCTCAACTACCATGCCTCTGGCTGGCTCCAGACAAGCCACTTAGCTCAACAACCATTTGTAGCTCATGGCATTGAACAGCACACACCTTCCCCTGGATCTGGTGGTAGTAACATGGGGGTAGACATAAAACTGGCTCCCTGTACACTAAAGATTTGTGTCCTAGTGAGAACTTCAGTGTTTGTAAGTTACTCCTCGTTTAAAGGTTTTAGAGTCCTCTTCAGGGCACTGTTTAATTGCCAGCCGTGAGTTCCTGAGCCCCCGGGGTAGAAATGAGCTGCTCACGTTCCGCAGCACTCCTGCTGTATTTGCGCCCTTGTTCCACAGGCCGTCCTGTGTATGTCTCTCCGACTTTCCTAAGCCCCTTAAGGTAAAGGGCATGGCTTGTTCATTTTTAATTCCCCGAAGTACCACCGGCTGCACAGATGGAAAATAAGTAAACTTGGTTGAATTTAATCCCATCTGTTGTAACACTCTGGGCTGGCTGCCGATGGGTCTGATCTTTCGATTCTGTTTTTCAGTCCTACTCCAGATGTCGGCCAAGGAGATGGAGAAGAAGAGGAGGCAGACGGCAAGGTGCCATGTCCACCAGCCCCCCTGAAGAACTGCCGTCCTCGCCAGGGCATCAGCGTCTTAGAGAAGCTCGTCAAGACGTGCCCGGTGTGGTTGCAGCTGGGTCTGGGCCAGGCAGAGGCAGCCAGGATCCTGCACCGGGAGCTGGCCGGGGTGAGTGCGAGTCCTCCACCTCGCTCTGGCGGGTAGACATAGCTGTGCATGTGCCCAGATGACTGGGCTGGTCCTGGGTGCAGATGACACCTGGGCAGCTCCCAGTTACCATCCCTTTACATTGATCAGTTTTGTTGTTAAGAATTATTTTATTTACCTTTATTTATTTATTTTAATTTGACCAGAGAGGGACAGAATGTGTGGGGGCTGGGGGTGGGGAGGAGCGAGAAGGTGAGCTGCCAGATCCGGGACTTGAACTACAGTCAGCCATATGGGAGTCCTGTGCCCTTAATCACCACACCACCTGCTGACCCCTACATTGATCAGCTTTTTTTTTTTTTTTTGGAGAGATTTTCACTGTAGGGCGCGTGCGCTCGCCAGACAGAGAGAGACATAGAGACAGAAAGCGAGAAATCACCCCCCAGGGGGGATGGTCACGCCGCCATCCCTTCTCCTCCATTCTCCTCTCGGGATCTTGGGCACACACGCACATGCGCCCGGCGTGAGTTTTAAGCCACCGGATCCGGGACGTGAACCGCGGTCGACTACGTGGGAGTCCAGCGACATAGCCATTACGCTAACTGCTGGTTCCCTACATTGATCAGCTTTTTGACCACAGGGTTTTCCCAGCACTTGGGAGCAGGGTAGGAGATTGACTTGTGCAGGTGATCCCCGCGGAGAGCAGGGAATGGGTGGCTAGTGTGGGCACCGCGAGGCAGGACTGATTGCATGAAGCCCTCCACAGATGTTTCGGAGTCAGGCTCTGCGAGGTGGGCAAGTAGCTTACATGTGCTGGGCCTCACGTATGTCGCTGAAACGGGGCATTAGTACCCCTCCCAGGGGCGGTGTTGCTATTACACAGGAAGATGGGCAGATGATGAAATACGAGTGAGAGCTCATCCCCCCACACTTTCTCTTAGATTCCACTTCCTTCTTCAAAAACATTCAAGCCGTTTAACTATAAAAGTGATATCCTTATTATTATAGTGTTCATTCTTTTTTAAAAAATGCTGGACAGAAGTGAACAAAGCAAAAAATATGTAACACAGTTGTCACAAAGTTCTTTTCTACCTGCTTTACCCTCACCCCCCGAAGTCTTTTCTTGATCAGGTGGGATTCACGGTACGTCTGACTGGCCGTTGTAGCATGCAGCTGAGGGCCCCGAGGCACTCGCGGAGCTGTCGCACGGCCCCTTTATCTAGTACGGAAACATGTTCATCACGGTTACTCCCCACCCACCCCCAGCTCCTGGTAACTGCCAGTCTGCTTCCAGAAGCTGTTTGGTTGAAGGCTGTGATGTTCGCTTCTGCTCACCGTCCACGTGGGTTCACACGTCCACCGCAGCCCGTGTTCCCGAGCTCTCACTGTGATCCCGGCGCCCTTCCAGGGCCTTCGCGCAGTTAGTTAGTTCCCCCCCGCCCCCCGGGGACCCTTTGTGGTTGGAATTGCTGTTGTGTTCATTTCCCAGATGGATAACTACAACATAAAGGGTTTGAGCGATCTCCCCAGGGGGCATAAGTGTATGGAGGAGCTGGGATTTGAACCCAGGTGGTGTGGGTACTCCTGTGCTTTATGTGATACAGATGGAATCGGGCCTCCCACCTGTTGGGGACTTTTGCTATCCTCCCGTGTGGCATGGTGCCGGGAAGAGGTGCCGCGGTGAGAAATACACAGGCTCAGCAGGTCAGTGGACCCGGCTGCCTCGACCAGGGCAGCAGGTGGACCTTGAAAGCACAAGTCACTGGGACTTATGGGGCTCCAGCCAAGGCCCATCTCCCCTGCCGCTGAGTCCCCTGTCACCTGGGAGTAGGGACTATGGAGACCTGACAGCCCAGAGGTGCCCCACCCAGCCCAGGTATCCTGGGCCAGCCCAGCCTCACTTCAGTGCCCAGGGCCGGCCTGGAGTCTGGGTGTTCTCCGAGCACTTACTGTGTTCCGGGAGCCCTTCCAGTTCCTTCATGTGAATTAGCGAATTAACCCGTTTACCCCCTCTGCAGTCAGAACTGCCTCTCATCTGGAGCAAAGAGCAGGCAGGGGGGTGGCGGGGAGGGGGCAGGGAGACTGTAATGCCCTCGTTTACTCTTCCCTGCCCAGAGATTTTCTGTTTCGAAGTACCAAGGGCTTCAGGAGATGAAACATAAAAATAGAACCAGGGCTGGCAGCAGGCGTTCCAGCTTTCTGAGGCTGCAGGACCCCGGTCAGTTCTGAGGGAAAGTCCATTCCACCCTTGCTGGGAGGCCAGGGAGCCAGAGTATTGAGGGGCAGACTTCACTAGCCCAGCAGAGGCCAGAGCATGTGGCAGTGGGATGGGCCAGACCATGAAGGTCTTCCCAGGAGACAAGTGGGTCTCCAAGGCCAGTAGGCCTGGCATAAGTCATGGCCACTTTGTCAAAAAGTACTGTCCTCTCCAGAGTGTTTAAAATAAACCCCAAGAGCTCTTCTGCAACCAAGGGCCTGACCATTGAAAACAGGGGCCAGCAAGTGGTGAGGTGATTAAGGTGCTGGACTCCCACATGGTTGACTGCAGTTCGAGTCCCAGACCTGGCAACTTGCTTTCTCACTTTCTCTCCCTCTCATTCTCTCTCTGGTCAAATAATAAATAAATAAATAAATAAAATAATAAGTAATAAATAAAAATAATAATTCTAAAAATATAGCAAATAGTTGAGGCCTCAGGTGACTGCAGTGAGGAGACTGTCTCCTCATCACCCACCCACCACCTCTTTGGAGATGCGGGGTGGGGCAGTCAGCCATCCTGCCGATGGACCTGTGGGAGACCTGCCCTCTGCCTGCACCCGTGCCTCTCTTCCAGCAGAAGCAAAGCCCTGAGCTCATGCTCGGGCACAAGTTTTACCTAGAGGTGGTATTCTCATGGTCTCATTCGATCCTCAGACTTCTGTCTGGTAGGTGTTATTAGGAGCCTCATTTCCAGAGGCTGAAACGGAGGCACAGAGAGGTTCATTCACTTGCCTGAGATCACACAGCTTGTAAGAGCAGAGTCTGCAGGGTATTGCTCACACAGACTCCTCTGAAATCCCATTGGTGCAGTGACTTCATTGTTTTTGAAGATATAGGCACCACAGGTGATCCCAGCTATAGGGCTTAAAAGGGCCTCGGAGACCACCAGGGCCCACCCTTCCCAGCACCACCGAGAGACGGCTTTATACTGACCAGGGCCAGAGTGCTGGATGCTGAGGACCCAGCCCCTGAGTCCCAAATATCTACACGACCTTGACCGCATCCCACCCCTCCTCTACGGTGCATCTCTCCTCCCTCAGCCTGCTTCTCTGATAAGATGCTGGGAACATTTGGGCCCATTTTTGGATTTGTGTGTATCCAGACACAGACTCTGAAAAAGCCACTCTTATTTTTTCTGCTCTCAAACTGTTTTTTATTTTGAATTTTAGAACAATTTTAGATTGACGGTTGCAATGTTAGCTCTGTTTCTCCATTGTTAACATCCAATGCTGGGAGGATACATTTGCTACAGTTGATGAGCCAACTTGATGCCGGAGCTTTACTAGAACCTCTACTGTATTCAGAACAACCTAACTTTTCTCTAGAGACCTTTTTCTGTTCCAGGAATCTGCCTAGATTATAACATGTTCCATTTCTTTTCTTTTTATTTTTAAAATTTATCTATCTATTTATTTGTTGTGATTTTGGGGCTGCCAGATCTGGGACTGTGAACTGCAGGCAGCCACGTGGGAATCCAGCACCTCAGCCACCATGTGACCAGCTGGCCCCAACACATTGTACACGTCTCCTTAGGCTCCTCTTGGCTCTGACTTTTTCTTGGACTTCTTTTGTTCTTGAGGATCTTGAGAGGTCAGGTCTTTTGTAGACTGTCCTGCAATTGGGATTTGTCTGGTGGTTAGACTGGGGTTGTGGGTTTGAGGAGGAAGTCCATTAACATACAATAATTTCAAGTGGCTTTGTTCCTGGTGGTGTTGACACTGATCACCTAGCCAGTGTCGTGTTTGTCACATTTCTGCACTGTCAGGTCCCCCTTCCCTTCACTTTCCATGCTGTCCTTTTCAGAAGGAGGTCACTGTGCTCAGACCTGCCTCGAGCAGTTGTGCTCCACCTCACTGGCCATCTGTGTAAATGATTTGGAATTCTTCTGCCCAGATCTGTCTGTTCTCCTCCATCTACCCATTCATTTGCTCGCTTGTGTCCATACGGAGTCGTGGATACTTATTTTATAGCTTTGGGTTATAATGCAATACTACTATACATTATTTTTTTATTTTTTATTTTTTGGGAGAGGTTTTTGCTATAGGGCGTGTGCGCTTGCCAGAGAGACAGAGAGACAGAAAGCGAGAAATCACCCCCCAGGGGGGGTGGTCACGCCGCAATCCCTTCTCCTCCATTCTCCTCTCGGGATCTTGGGCACGCACGCACACGCACCCGGCGTGAGTTTTAAGCCACCGGGTCTGGGACACGAACCGCAGTTGACTACGTGGGAGTCCAGCGACATAGCCATTATGCTAACTGCTGGTCCCAACTGTACATTATTTTGTTGTTCTAGTTGTTTTCAACTTTGGTCATTGGAAGTTGTCAATCTAAAAAGGTAAACCGAGACAAAGTATGGAACAGCAAAAGGAGTTATTCAGGCCAGGGTTGAGGATGGGTATCCAGCAGCTTGGGTGGATGCCCTGAAAATGTGCACCAAGGTCTCGGAATCCTTAGGTTTTTGGAGGTTTTTTTTTGGCTGGGGGAGGGGTTGTTTAGGTTTTTGCCATAGGGCACATGTGCTCTCTGGAGTGAAACAGTGAAAGGGAAGGTGAGAAATCTCTCCTCTCACCTCCCAGCCCCCCACCCCCATCCCCAGTGGGGAATGGCCATGCTGCAATCCCTTCTCCATTCTTCTCTCAGGACTTTGGGCATGCATACACATGCACCCAGTGTGATTTTCAAGTCAGCGGGTCCAGGACTTGAACTGCTGTCAACCATGTGGAAGTCCATTGCCTTAACCACTATGCCATCTGCTGGCCTCA